TGGAGCCCGAGCTGGAGGCAGAGATCCCGGCAGGTTGCCCCAGGTGGAGAGCCCAGGGCCGAGGCTGAGGCAGTGCTCGGACTGAGGAACCCTCAGTGCTTGGACTGAGTTACCAGTGCTGGTAACCCTACTCTGTGGGTGGTGGCCTGGAGGTCCAGGGTTGTTAAATGACCAGCCCAGCCACACAGTCTGGGAGGACTGTACGGGAAGCTGGTGTAAGCCCATGCTGGGCCGGGCCCATCAGGTACAGCTGTGCCGTGCACACAGGGATGGGGCACTCAGCCCATGAGGCCCCTCCCCGCAGCCCATGGGTCCTCTGGAGCTGCGGGGAGGAGGCGGGGCTCTAGTTCTGGGGCTACAGGGGCTGCTGGGTAAAGGTGACAATGACAGGTTTGAACATTTTACTCTCATAAAGGTGTGGAGAGTGGACTTCGGAGCAGGGAGCCAAGACGTGGGGCAGGAGGCCAGCAAAAGGGCACTGTGGTGAGGAGGCCTGGGTGGGGCCAGGAAAGGGAGTCGTGGGGATAATCACCAGGATGTCAGGACAGACGACACTGGGAAGCAGCGGAGGTTTGGGAAGGTCCCGGGTAGGGTCCAGGTGCTGAGGAGCAGGCCCTCGGCCCTCGGGAGGCTGGAGGTACGGGGCCATGTTGGCCGGCTTCCTCTGTGGAAGGGTGTGGGTCAGGCTACAGAGTGAACTTCCTGATAGCAGCAGCATCTTTTTTTTGAATTTTATTTTTTTTTAATATTTCTTTTTTAAAAAACCTTATTTATTTATTTTTAGAGAGTGGGGAAGGAAGGGAGAAAGAGAGGAAGAGAAATAGTAATGTGTGGTTGCCTCTCATGCACCCCCTACTGGGGACCTGGCCTGCAACCCAGGCATGCGCCCTGAGAATCGAACCAGCAACCTTTTGGTGTGCAGGCCGGTGCTCAATCCACTGAGCCACGCCAGCCAGGGCAGCAGCACCTTCTTAGACATGGGAAATCAGGCCCCCAGGAAGTGTTTTGCTGTGAGGGATCCCAAACTGACTATTCTTGGTGCGGGGCCACAGATGGGAGGATTTGGGGTAGACAGCTGGGCATGCGAGTAGACCAGAGTGGTCCCCCAAGTCTGCGTTAACTAGAACACTGCTCAGCCTCAGCCCAGGCACGCCTGGGGCTCTCTGGGGCCATCGCTGAGGCTGTCAGGCTGCTGAGTGCAGAGCAGAACTAGCCCCTGCCTTTCCAGGGCCCCCGGTGTCCTCGGCTGCCCTTGGGGGCTGGGCCAGGGCTGGGTGGCCAGGTCTCCCACGAAGCTCTCAACAAGCTCCAAGTCTTTCCTCCTGTGCTCAGATCCCACCCCCCAATCCCACCCCCCCTCCTCTTTGCATCCCTCAGAGAGAGCAGGAAGCCGGGGCGGGAGGTGGCGGGGAGGTTTCTAACGGGCCTTGTCCCAGCCCTGAGGACTGTCTAAAGGGCTTGGGGCTGCCAGCCACTGAGCCTGGGCGCCAGGTTTCTCGAATAGGGTCAGAGCTGGTTCAGAAGCCCTGTGTGGGCCAAGCCGAGAGATCCAAGTCGCCTTCCTGGCTGGCAGGCAGTCCCCTTTCCCTGGGTCACAGGGAGACACGAGGCTTGGCCAGGGAAAGTGGTCTGGAATGGCCCTTTGACATCGTCCCTGGGGACTTTTAAAAATGAGTTCCTGGTAAGGAAGACTCTCAGGCCTTGGGCAGGATTCTCGGTAGAGTCTCCTGGGTTTGCTCTGACCTGACAAACGCCAGCAGAAACCACCCGGCTGTCTGCCTTCCAGCAGCGCTGGGAGCCGTGGCTTCCCCAGATGCAGCGTCAGCAAAACGAGGCAGCCAAGACACAGGGGTGTTTGCTTTCAGGCCATGCTAAGCCCCAGGGGCTGGGGGTCATGCAAAGGAGAGCCCACCCCTCGGCTTTGCCCCTCTTGGTTAAGTGCACACGTTCCTTGCTTCTTAAGGAATGGCTGATACCACCAGTGATGCCAGAGGCTTGTCCACGAGTCGTGACAGGACGAGACCTCTGTCAGGGGGGACACTGAGTATCAGCTGCCTCTGAGGTCACGCCCTCTCTCACCTCTCTGCCACCTGCCCGTTTTCTGGGACTAAAGTCTGTATTTGAAAGGCCCATCCTGGGCCAAGGTCTCTGGGGGAATGTGGTCAAGGATGTAAAGGAAGGCGAGGAGACCAGAGTTGGGGGTGGACAGAATCCAGGAGGCCTGACCCACCTCTCAGCCCTTTATACCTGACCGTTGGACTCCGGTCAGCTTTCATGCTCCCTCTGCTTTCCGTTTGCTTGGTCTGTGAAATGGGTGTGCCTGGAAGGGGCGGGACACGGCTGCTCCTGGCAGGGGCTGAGCGCTCAGCAGGGCCCCGTCTGCCTCCAGGTAGAGTGCTCTTGCCTCCCTCTTATGCTGGGGTGCTGACTCCACCTGCTCAGTGTCGGGTGTGGGGTGGAGTCAGTGGGGGCTGGAGAGGGGAGAGGGGAGCTTGCGCTGGGTGAGTGAGCGAGCCAGGTTGTTGAGTGAGCCAAGGGGAGAAGAGTGGACAGGTTTGGGTCACGTTAGGCTTCCAGCCGCTGTCTGCTCCGCGGCCTCCCCAAGTGGGGATTTGAGCACCTCCTGTGCCTGGGCCAGAACCCTCGCCCCCTTTTTTCCCTCCCCAAGGATCATAATGTTTATTGATAGATAAAATCAGGGCATTAACATGACTTGGTAAGTTAATTAGACTTAATACTATAAAAAGAGGGACCAATGCATATTCTCACCATTCGTTTCATCCCCACAAAAGCCAATTCAAGGGCGTTACCGATCTCTCAAAAGTGATCAGTTTTGTGCAAGTAAACCTAGTTTCTTTTAAAAGGACTTGTGCCCTCACCAGTGTCAAGAATATTAACATCAAGGACAGAAAGCCCATTACTAGAGGTAGAAATAAACAGGTGATACACTATCATGCCAATGACCATCAGTCACAGTTAAGAATTTCTCTGTGACAGCCAAATGGGTAACCTGGTATTGCAACAACTGTAGCGTTACTGAGCAGAGCACCTTCTCCCTCCCGTGGCAAGGGAGACCGTGGTAAGGATGGGGACCAGCAGAGCCAGGGCGGGGACTCACGGCAGATGGCCTGGGGTGAGGACGTATGAGTGTGCACATCTTCGGGGCGGACGGGCAGCAGGCAGGGTCCGAGTGGCAGAGCAGGAGGCTGTGGGCTTCTCCCTGTTGCGCCGGCCATGGGAGAAAAGTGGGTGTGGATGGCAGTCACAGTGAAGCAGCAGACGGTAAAGGCCTCCTGCAGGCTTCACGAGTTTAAAGCCCACTCTGCGTGTGACTTGAGCGCTGCCTGCTACCCAGGTGTCGCCCAGAGATGCAGGTGGAAAGGTTCTACCCCAGCGGCATGCACACTCCTCCCCCCGCCGCATACTCTCCCAACTCTCCTTTAGCACACCCGATTCCAGGCTGGGAGCGTTCTTCTCCTGATGGGGTATAGAAGGAGGGGCATCGTGGGGGTCCCCTAAGCCTGTGGATGGATTGTGTGTCCCACTCCTCCTTCCTCTTTAAGCAACCCAGTGTAGCATGGGCTCCGGGCTCCCGGCTCCCAGACGCACAGGAAGGCCTTGGTGGGGGGGGGCTTGCAGAAACGTTCATCTCCCCTGGCGTCCTCTGGATAACTCCCCCAGGGCACGGAGGGCGTGCTGTCCCCTGCAGAAGCCCCAGCCTGTCGGGCCTTCACACTTGCATGCACGCACGCATGCCTGGTCCCTTCTCAGCCACCGTCCTTGGTATACCCTCACTACCACAGCGTTCCCATTTCGGAGTGAGGAGTGACCCTTCTGCTGTCTTTACCGACCCTCCGCCCAGTCTTTCATTCATTACAGTTATTCACTGCGCATCCAGATGCACCAGAACTACTCCGTTTTAGGGTCTGAGATACCTCAGTGACCAAAAGTCCTTGCTCTTGTGGAGCTTCTGTGTCCTGTGTGAGGTGGGGTATGTGTGACAAAGAACAGTGGCACAGTGAAGGCTGATGGCGCTGCAGGAGGGGCGTCTGAGGAGCGGCAAGATGGTCGCTCCCCGGGCAGGGGGCAGGGGCAGGGAAGGGCCCCGAGGTGAGGGTGAACAGACGGCTGACGTGGTCCGCTTTGTGTTTTAAGAAGGTGGCTCTGGCTGTGTGTGGAGAACAGACTGGGGCGGAGGGGAGCAAGGGCAAAGGCTGGGAAACTGCCAGGTCTCACCCGTCCCGCCTGCGTCCGATCCTCCCTTTTTCTTCACGCCTGTCCCTGTGAGCACAGGAGAGTCTGTAAGATTGGCTTGTCTGCCCCCAGCCAGTCCTAGGGCAAGGTCAGCCTTTTCTCCCAGCCTCCTGCCCCTCACATGTGCCCTGTAGGCCACTCGCCCCTCACGCCATCCTCCTGGCTGTTTCCTGCTGTGTTTTCCTGTCCCTACCGCATCTTCCGAGGCCCAGCCTGGCACGCCCTCTCATCCTCTCGGGCCTGTCTTGGTGCCTTCTCCACTCTAGTCCCAGGGCCCGGGGTTTCTTCCTCATTTCTCAGGTGAGTACTGTTGCCCGGAGGTGTGTCGGATTGATCTGCTAGCCCTGGAAGGCAAGGCTTGTGTCTTACTCTGCTCCAGGTTAGGGTCGCGCCAGAGCCCACCATGCAGAAAGGCCTCAAAGGCTTGTGAATGGCAAGCAGTTGGGGTTTCCCAGGCCTTGTCATTTGGAGGAACAATGGCTGTACTTGTGCTTCGACTCTGTACTGTGCTTGGAAAGTGTGCTGGCTCGTGGTCCAAGGGTCTGGGGCATCTCCAGGGCCTTGGCTGACTGCTGTGGAGTAGGCTCGGAGCCCGCAGGGAGGCGGAAGTGGAGACAGGAAGTCAAGGTGGCAGCAGGACACACTCCTGGGGAGAGGCTGGGCCCAGCACTGGGGTGGGCGTGGGGCCCGGAGGCCCCGGGGAGACTCAGCACGGCCGGCCCTCACACCCCACCCGTGGGTTTCAGACCTGAAGCTGCACCTGCAGAGCACTGACTACGGCAACTTCCTGGCCAACGAGGCGTCGCCACTGACAGTGTCCGTCATTGATGACCGGCTCAAGGAGAAGATGGTGGTGGAGTTCCGCCACATGAGGAACCACGCCTATGAGCCGCTCGCCAGCTTCCTGGATTTCATTACGTGAGTGTGCCCCGCAGTGCTGCACGCCATCCCCATGTGCACGGCACAGCTGTACCTGATGGGCCCTGCCCAGCATGGGCTTACACCAGCTTCCCGCAGAGTCCTCCAGGACTGTGTGGCTGGGCTGGTCATTCAACAACCCTGGACCTCCGGGCCACCACCCACAGAGTAGGGTTACCAGCACTTTACAGCTGGCTGGGAGTCCGGTGGGCAGGCAAGTGTCCCGTGTTGTAGTACTGTGCCCCGGGGTTACAGAGATTGGGGTACAGAGACCAGGGGTGATGAAAGCCCTTCCTCACTCACCTGCCAGCACCCACAGTGAACACTCACCGGGCCTTCAGCTGCCATGTCAGGGCCAGGGGTTGGGGGATGGACGGAGCTCTGAAGAGCCAGGTTCTCGAGATGGACTGTCAGGCTTTCAGGTCTTGCTCCTGTCTGGGCCGAGGTCCGTTCCCAGCTCTGACCGTGGTCCTGAGTTGCAGGGAGAGGGGGTGGTGGGGTCAGGGAGACGGAGCGGCTGAACTCGTTGTTGCCTTTCCAAGTCCTGGCCAGCCCCAATGCTTACGACTCTCGGCTGCCCAGTTCCCCCTTTGTCTGACCCTGGGGAACGGCCCTGCCTCTACTAAGCCCTGGAGATGCTGAGAGAGGAAAGGATTTGGGACCTGCAGGCTAGGGAACAGCACTTGGATGGGGGCATCCCTTGCTTGCCAGGTGTACCTATGGAGATGGGGGGCTAGGGAGAGCCCCCTTTGCGGTGGCGGCCCAGGAACCATGAGTGGAACCTGGTAGACAAAGGTGGCCGCTGTCCGGGTAGCTTCCTCATACCATGGTGAGCAGAGGCGTGGTCAGTGGCTGGCTCGTGTCAGTGGCCTCTGAGTTGGTAGTGTGAGTGCGTGTTCTGGGTACCACCTAGCTTTTACCACTGCCCGATTGCAGTGCCCCTACCCTCCTCCTTGAGACCTAACATACCTGTCCTGCTTGTCCCCTGCCGGGACAGGCCTAGACTCCTGCTATCTGGCCTGATACCCCCCGCCCCCACCCACTAGGAGCAGCCGCTTTCTGAAGAGCAGCTATAAGGGCACCATCCTCACGTGAGGATCATGGGCTGGTGCACTCAAAGGACTCAGGGAACCTGCCCAGGCAGAGAAGCAGGCTCTCTTCCCAGAGGCCTCCCTGCTGTCCTGGCTGGGCCCACAGTCACTGCCCCAGCCCTGGTCAAAGTACAGCTAATGTGGTCCTACTGGGGCCGGAGGCCAGCGGTGAGGTGTGTCTTGCGTTGCCGCGCTGGGGAATCACACCACAGAACCCTGTCAATCAGTCCCTAGCCTGGGCCTGTGTATCCCTTGCCTCAAGGCCAGAGCTGAGGACATACAAGGAAACAGTGTGTTTATTGCCAGAGCCTGGCCTTCACCTTGTTTGAACAAGATTCCTTCAGTTTCCTGATGAACATTCTGGTCTTTCTACCTAGGCTGGCCAGAGGAGGCCTGACCCAACCCATGCCAGTGGTCAGAGGGCAGATGTCCTCCATCCCGCTTGGCCACCTGCCTGTTTGCTTGTCTTGGTGCCCTCGGAGACTTGGTCTTGGCCTGCCAGGCCCTGAAACCGGAGAAGCCTCTGAGCGTGACTGAGGCTGCACGGCCGCCAGCTCTTTGCTGGAGGTTGGCTGCAAGCACCAAGTACGCCGAAGGCAGCCAAGCGCTGTCCTGCGGCAGGCTGTCACGTCCCTCCCCGTCCATTCACGGGCAGCCGTGGCCCACGGGCTCGCCATCCCCGCACTCCTGCCCTCACTCGGGGAGAGCTCAGCAGCCACGTGTCAGCCTGTCTGCGCCTGTGGCTGCTCCGTCCATGACCTCGTCATCCAGGGCTCGCTCCTTTGCTGTCCACTTCAGCCGCCCCCGGTGATGGCTGCTCCAGGCCATGTCACCACCTGGAACTGCTCCACCCTAGAAATAGCTGAGTCAGGCACCCCCCCTCTACCCACAGCCTGCAGGCCCTCCGGCCCACTCTTAGTCCCTTGTGGGACGTGGGTTCCGGACTCAGCAGGACTGGGGGCCTCGCTTCCTCCCCTGCTGCCCCTCTGTCTTCATTTTCCTCCCTCCCCAGCTGAGGTTCCCTGGTCCATCATTCGAGCACTCTTCTGCCAACATCCGCAGCTCTCTTGGCCGCCCATCTCATGGTCCCGCCCGGCTGGCAGCCCCCCAGCCCTGGAGGAATCCCAGCAGCCTCCAGCTTGGAAGCGCCCTCCCCCATCTCCGCTGCTGGGAGCAAAGCCGGAGAAACCGGCAGCCCCGGGCGGGTGATCCCTGATGCCAGGCACGCATGCAGGCCGGCGCAGTTGGCCTTGGCTTGCCCCTGCCCGGCATCCGCTTGCTTTTCCTACTCAGCACCCTGTAGCCTCCCTTCAAAGATGGGAAGACCACCTCCCCGTCTTAAACACTGTCCCTCTCCTGTCCCCCCGGGCCAATGGCCCACCTCCTGCTCCACGGAGAGGACAGAGGCAGGTCTGACTTCCAGCACCGCATCTGTGCCTCCAACGCCAACCCAGTGGCAGAGGCGCTCTCCTCTTCTTTTGGGTCCTACTGCCAATGTCCACCATCCCCTCACCCCATTCCCTGGACCCTGAGCAGCCACTCGTCTGCACGGCTGTCTGTGCAGCTGCCTTCCTCTCCGGATTCTTCCCATCAGCATCTAAAAACCCTCAAATCTCACACCATTAAAAACCCATCTCTTGGGGCCTAAACTTAGACATGCACTGTCTGTTCTTGCACCTTCCCCACCCTTCCGGTCTCCAGTGGGCTCCCACAGTCCCATCACTCCGCCACAAGGCCCTGGCTAGAGTCACCGCTGACTTGCATGTGGCCACGGTCTCCAGGGCTAATCAGGAGCCACCCCTCCCCCACCCCCACTGCAGCAGCCTCCTTCCTCCCAGGGTGTCTCTCTGACTCAACTCCTACCTCCCTGGCTGCTCTTCTCCACTCCACCCCCTCCCCTCGTCTTCTCTGGCTCAACCCAGAATGAGGGGTGGTGTTGCAGAAAGGGGTAAACTAGGGCCTAGGATCTCCCCAGTCTAGAGACTCAGAGCCAGCTTCTCTGAGCAAGTGGCTGCGTGGTTGAGGGGGAGAGGATTTAAAGGAGAATTAGGGGAGCGGGATTCTAGACTGAAGGAGCCACACACCCAGTGTGAACAGCTGGAGCATGGGGCCCCCGTACCCTAGAGAGACGAGTGTGGTCCCCCCGGAGGTGGAAGTGTCGGCTGGAGGCTCCATCCTGGGTGTGAAGATGTGAACGATGATGCCATTGTCCTTCTGAGTTGGCCCCGCTGGAGCAGCGGTTGGGGCCACCACAGAGGTCAGCCCTCAGCTCCATCCCTCAGGGTCTCTTCGTTGCCTTCGGAGCTGCCCCAGCGTGGCTGGAATAGGCTTCTGCAGGAGGCGGGGAGTTCCTCGTCACTGAAGATGTGCAAGCGGGAGCTGATCTAGACTTTCTCTGCCTTCCTGTAGTTAGAGGCAGCGTCCAGTGGTTTCATAGATTCCCACCCAGCCTTCAGCCACCACACGTGACTGATGTCAGCTCTGGGCCAGGCCCAGTGCCAGGAGGGAGGGAGGGAGATGCGTGGATGCAGTGGCGCGGGTGCCAGTGGTGGTGTCGATAGCTCCTGGAGAGGCCTGAGAGCAGCCGCCACAGTAGAGCCGGGAACCACAGGAGACTCCCCCGCATCTAGAGGACTCCAGGATCCGGTGGGGTTAGAGAGCCATTGGGGACAGTGGGTGGCCAGAGTGGAGACAGCTGCTGGGCATGGGGCAGACAGACCCTAAGTGAGAGAGGCCCCCCGAGGTAGACTGTTAATCAGTCGTATGGTCTTGAGATGATTCAGCTTGGTCTCAATATGTCACCGATGTCACTGTACCAAGGGCTTCTTCCAGCCCAGCCACTGTTTTGCTGTGTGACTTGGGATAGAGCCTCTAACAGGGTCTTTTTCGCTTTGGAGAAGGCGATGATCTGGGCCGTTCCTTGATGGTTTCCTGTGTGAAGGTAGGCCCCGGGAGGGAAGCTGGAGGAGTTGCTTGTGGGGGAAGTGAGTCTGGTCTCTGGGAATTCCCGGTGGGCCCCGAAGACCTTGTTCTCAAGAGCGAGCCTCCCTGAAGGGGCACATTCCCGGGGTGCAGTGCCTGCCTGCACCCCAGGTACCCACTGGCAGAGCCTGGGCATGGCGACCATCTTTCTCCTGGCCCACGGGCCTCAGTGCCACCAACCTGGAGTGGGCAGCTGGAAAGAAGCTTTGTTTCGGGACAATAACCTCAAGTGCCCAGTGGGCCTGATAGCACACTCGCCATTCTCCCCAGGGCCCTTACTCCAACCTTGGGCCCTGCTGCACCTGGTTTCCGGGATGGGTTCCCTGTGTCCTGGCCCTCCAGCCCCTGCTGTCCACAACTCACGTTCTGCATTGACACAGGGTCTCTGTGGGTCAGGGCTCCAGACGCTGTGATTTCTGGGTCCTGAGCTGGACTTGGGTCCTGTCTTGGGGGGGAGCCAGTAACCGCACTGTCTTCCCGAGCCTGGGAAGAGCATACAGGAGCCCTTCAAGGCCCCAAAGGCTTAAGTCACGTGGGAGGACCCAGCTGCACCTCTGGCATCGGGGCAGGCTTTGAGTGGGAAGGAAGGTCAGGGCCTCTCTGGTTCTGCTGTGGGCCACACCATAGTCATCCCGATTGCAGAAGGGAAACAGGCGTGAAAGTTGGTGTGCTGGGACCGTGGCTTCCACCTGGGCAGGGTCCTGAAGGACTCAGATGTGACCGAGCACAGATACCGTTACCAGCAGCTCCTGCTGGGGAGATGTGAATGGACAGACTGGCAGGGGCACCTATTCATCACGACTTCACGAGCGCCAGGCTGCCCCCCCCCCCGGGCGGCGGGGGGGCGGGAATGGTGAGAATGTAGGAGGCTAGGTGCTCCAGCAGGTGGCACTAAAGGGCACAGCAGATGGACAGGACTTGGTTAGGGGACTCTGAAGACTCCTTGGAGGAAGTGTCTTCCTAAACTCCAACCTGAGATTTCTGTGGGCCCAAGCTGAATTGACCAGGCACAGGGCGGGGGGGGGGGGGGCGCCTATGGGCAGAGGAGTACAGACTCCTGCACTCCCGCCCCACGCGGGCCTCTCTGGCCTGGCGGCAGCTGCCTGTCCACTCCCCAGCTGTCTTCCTCTGGAGGGAGACAGTGACCAGCTGGAACTCAATCTCTCCTACTGAGGCCAAATGAGGGGAGGACCGTGGAGTGCCTTTCTGGGGGCTGGGAAGCAGCTGCCGAAGCCAGGCAAGGAGGAGGAAGAGGAGGATTTCCTTGCTATAGTCCTTGGGAGAGAAGCAGACCGTTGGGCCAGCATTGTCTCTACTAGGCCTGCCCTGCCTTCCTTCTCCCAGGAAGGAAGCTTCTGGCTCTCACTGGGCGAGGGAGACAACCAGGGGCTGCTGCTGCAGCAACCTTGTAGTTGACCCAAGGGGAGGAAGTGCTGGCCCTGGCACAGGATCATTCAGGGCCCGCCTGGCCTGGGTTGGAAGGGGGCCTTGGAACGGCCTGGGGGAGTGTGACTGCAAGTGATCCTTACTTAACTTAGCATTGTCTTTGGTACCCAGCTAGGTCTTCCAGCAGGAGAGAGGCTGGGGGCAGCCAGGGGACACTACCACTGACCCCCGTCTGCTGTCAGGCCTGAAAAGTGAGTCATAATTGGCCTGTTCCACATCACTGGAGGGATGACAGCAAGGCCAGACGGCAGAGTCTTCCCACAGGGCTCTCCTCTGAGGAGGGGCCAGGACCTGAGACACCTCCCCTGGGCCCTGACCTCAGCCCCACTCCCAGCACAAACTAGTACCCTGAGCTGTGGGTGCAAGGAGTGGAGCGGTTTAGATAACAGGGGCTGGCTTGTAGGGAGCCCTCTGAGAAGACCAGGCTAGATGGGGGTTGCAGAGCTCTAGGCATGGGAGCCCTGGGCAGGGCGGAGGTGCGAGGACACTGGCCACGTCTCGTGCTGTGACAGGCCTGGTGCCTGTACTCTCCGCGATTTATCTGACAGCTGGCGATGCAGGTGGCGGCGGAGTCAGATGGAGAGGACTCTCTTTCCCCTCCCCACCCAGAGGGTTGCGAGAATGTAAAAGAGCATTCTAGGTTTGGGGGTGGTGTCTTTGTGGCTCTTTCAGGGAGCACGCTGTCTAGAATGTGGCTGCATGGGTGCAGGCTGAGTGTCTCAGGAGGTGGAGTGTCATGTGGTCCTGGGTCCCTGAAGCCCTGCAGGCGTCAGCAGCAGGAGAGGTGCGCTGTCCAGTGTAGAGAAGATGCAGGCCAGGGCCAGAGACTAAGGCACAGAGCTCTCTCTGAGGTGCCTCTGCTTTGCCAGCTGTCAGGTCAGGGTCAGAAGGACTGCCATTTGGGTCTCTTGGCTTGCAGCTGCAAATGGGTCCTGCCCGAAGCCCTCAGTTTGAGAAGGAGCGCCTGTCTCTTCTTAGCACACATCCTGTAGCTGACCCAGCCAGATTTGGGGTGGAGGGAGGGCAGCTGCCTGGCTCTAAGCCCAGGAGAACAGAGGTTGTAGCAGGGCGCTGGGCCGGGTGGGAGCTGGGGGAGCAGCAAGCAGAGAGAGTGGGGGGTCAGACCAGGATAGGAGCTGTGGCCTCTTCCTCCTGCTGCCTTCCTGGAGGGCCCTGTGGGAGCTCCTATTATGGCCAGCCCTCTGAGCCTAAAGCCTGGAGCATCCACCTCCTTCCCTTTCTTCCTTTGGTTTTGGGGACCACTTCCTTCCAGGGTTGCCTTCCTTGGACAGCATCATGCTGGTGCTCAAGATAACTGTCACTAGGCAGGGGCCCGGCTGAGGCACAGAAATGCTCAGGTGGGGCCCGTGCTCAGCACCTAACTCAAGGCACTGGCCTCCGCCCCCACTTGCACCCTTCAGCGAGAGCCCCACTTTGACCTTGGGGCATGTCCTCCAGGCCTCATCCAGCTCCCCCGTGCCCTGAGTTCATCACTGGTGCCACCAGGCTGGAGGAGTGTTATGGCTACGGCAGCTTGACTGTGGCCTTGAGGCCCTCTCTGCTCTCCACCCCATCCCTGCATAGGCGACTGCACAGAAATTGCCCCAGCCCTTTTGTGGCAGCGTCTTCATGGTCAAGGGCAGAGCCTGCCCCTTGCCAAGTTTGAGCTGGGCTGCCCTGCTTGTCCCCAACACCACAGCCCCCTCTACTGCCCATACACTCCCCAGAGCAGAGAGTCTGGGACTGATCTGAGCAGCCTCCTCTCCAGGCCTCTGGGTCTCTTCCAGGCCACCCTGGGCAGACGCCTTGCCCTGGCCTCGGGCCTAATGGTGGAGGCGGTGCTCAGGGCAGCTGTCTGCCTGCCCGTCGCTGCCTGCCCTGGGACCTTCCTCCAGAGGTACCTTCCCACCACCTCCCCTCCGTCCTTCCTTAGAGAAGCTGCTCCTCAGACTTTTCTGCCCTTGCCATCCTCCCCTCCACTTTGTTCCCACCCAGCAGCCAAAGCAGCCCTCACTGGACTGGATGTCCTGCTTACGTCCTGCAAGTGGAATCCTGTGCCCAGACTGAAGGCAGGCCCCTCGGCCTCACCCGCAGGACCAGTCTCCAGGCCCCAGCCTGCTGGCAGAACTGCCCTGGTCCCTTTGCTCCTGCCAGCCCCAGCTGTGTTCAGTTCCTCGAATGCGTCTGGTCACTCTGAATGCTCGCAGGTTCCTGCACACACTGTTCCCGCTTCCCAGAACACGCTTTCATCTCCCAGCTCTCTCATCCCTGGGACTGGCCGGGGCGCCTCACCTCCGTGTGCCCATGGTCCCCGTGTCCTGCCAGAACACTGTTCACACCCGTTTTGCAATCATTAGTGGGGCCTGAATTCCACCCTCCCTCCACTGAGGGGGGCCTGCCTGTCTCGTGCTCCTGGTAGTGGAGAAAGGGGCGTGCTTGGGCGGGGAGCGGGGCCAGTGGCACTTCTCTGCAGCACCCTTGAGGCAGTGCGCGCCAAGGGGCTGGTGGGCTGTGTGGGGCAGGGTAGGGGCGAGGCGTCAGGACTTCCAGCCCAACCCTGACAGGCTGCCTGCTGTTGTGTGCCTCCCGTAGTTACAGCTACATGATCGACAACGTGATCCTACTCATCACGGGCACACTGCACCAGCGCTCTATCGCTGAGCTCGTGCCCAAGTGCCACCCGCTAGGCAGCTTTGAGCAGATGGAGGCCGTGAACATTGCACAGACACCTGCTGAGCTCTACAATGCCATTCTGGTGGACACGCCCCTGGGTGAGCCGCTGTGGTGGAGGGAGGAGGTGGGCGGCAGTGTCAGTGCCTTAGTTGGGGGTTTGCAGACCCCTGGGGGTGACCTCACTCAGAAGCCTGCCCACTACTGCTAACCTTTTTGTTTCCCTTGACTTCCCATCCCATTCCTTCCTCCTTACCCCACCTTCTTTGCTGTTGCTCTTGCTGGGCCAGGAAGGCTGCCCCCAGGACCGAACTTGGACCATTTAACTTCTGGGCCAGGAAGGCTGCCCCCAGGACCGAACTCAGACCATTTAACTTCTGGGCCAGGAAGGCTGCCCCCAGGGCCCAACTCGGACCATTTAACTTCTGGGCCAGGAAGGCTACCCCCAGGGCCCAACTCGGACCATTTAACTTTGTGAGAGTGGATGATTTCTCAGAATGCAGTGGAGGGCTGGGCTCAAAGAGAGTGTGAGAGGCTTGGGTCCCCCGGAGCCTTGAGAGTGCTGACCTGTCAGACTGTGGCCCCAAGCAGGGTGGGAGTAGCAGGCCGCCCACGAGCAGAGGAGGGAAGCAAATAGCTTCGCTCGCCTCTCCCAAGCAGGTCCCAGGGGCCTGGAAGCAGGGTTCATGTTAGAGGTCAAGGAAGGGAACTGGGAGCTTCTTCCAGGGCCCTGCCTAAGCAGTGCTGGCTCCTGCCTGCTCTGTTGTCTGGGTGGAAGGCACCGTCACCAGCCAGTGCCTTCATAGCCAGAGCCCTAGTCCCCTGGACACCACCTCCAAGAAGCCACCAGGGTTGAACCGCTGGGCTCCAAGCTGCACTTGGTCCTACACAAAAAGCCCTGAGCCCTACCTGTTGGCCTCCTCTATCACAGACTCTCCCAGTGGTTCTGAGCTGTTTGTGGCTTCTTCCATTTCTCCATCTTTAAAAAAGAGACCGACCAAATGAGTCCACAGGTTCCCCTTGGAGTGGGGTAGCTTAATCCTGCTCTGATCTCTACTTCCAGCCTGACAGCGGTCCCTTGGGTCTGCCCCAGCAGCGATTAGGTCATGTTGTGTCTGGCCGCCTCCTTTATAAATTCATTTTAGGAGCAAAGAGTCAGGAGAAGCTCCGGTCAGGGTACAGAGTCCAGAGGATTGCTACTGCCCCTCCCAAGGCAGTAACCAAGGCGGGCAGCCCCCAGCGCCCAGCCGGACGGGCCTGTGGCAGGGCCTCTGCGCCCACAGAGGTTGGGCACCAGCAGGACTCGGGCTCTCCTACCCCTCACACTGAGTCTTTTGTCCCCAGCGGCGTTTTTTCAGGACTGCATCTCAGAGCAGGACCTCGATGAGATGAACATCGAGATCATCCGCAACACGCTTTACAAGGTAGTGCCCCCTCCCCCCCCACCCCGTGAGCAGTGGGGGGTTGGCTTGCAGGCGGGGGGGGCTGTGGGCCTGGTGGGCCTTGATTTCTGTAGGGACCCAGGCAGGGCGCAGCCTCAGGCTCTAACCCTGAGGGTTTATCCACTTACCCTCTGGCTCCCGTGATGGGCGAGAGGCTGCATGGAACAGGTTCTCTACCCCAAGGGGCCTGCGGTGGGCCTGGATAAGATCCGCAGGAGTGGCAGGTGCTCCACAGCTTGGCTTGTCAGAGCTGGCTCCTGGGCGACTGCTCTGCTGCGTCCCGGAGGGTCATGGCCACCCTCTGGGCCGTAGCTCTCGGGCTGACCTCGCCTAGACTGTTGCCAGCAAAGCCCAGCATGGGAACAGGATTCTGTTCTGGGTGGGGGAGGGACCCTGCTGGGAGTAGCCAGGTCACTGTGTCCCTGTCAGATTCCCAGGCCTAGAGCCAGGGCCATGTCTTATCATCCTCATCCCCACCTACCGTCCGCTTCCCGCCAGCCTGTGCCACAGCTGGCGACCCCGTGGAGGCTGTGGAGGTAGAGTGGGCTTGGGTTCCTAGCTCAGCACTGTCCTGGCCTAAAGGGCTGGCCAGGGACGAGCGAGGGACATTTGGGGCAGACCGGGCTATGAGTGTGGTGAGGTGCGGAGCTGCTGGGCCAGGACGCTGGCGGCTGCAGCCAGGAGCGTGGGTCAGCAGGGGCCAGGCCCCGGATAGCACTGGCCGAGGGCCCCGCTGACCTGGCCCCGAGAGCATCTGTCTTTCGGATCTTTATTTATTTTTTTAATCCTTACCCAAGGACACATTCATTGATTTTTTTTTTTTAAAGAGGAAGGGAGAGAGAAAGAGAGAAATATTAACATGAGGGAGAAACATTGGTTGGTTGCCTACCGCATGCTCCCTGACTGGGGATTGAACTGCAGCCGAGGCCTGTGCCCTGAGTAGGGATCGAACCTACAACTTTTTGGTGTACGAGACGACACTTCAACCAATTGAGCCACCCAGCCAGGGCATCGCTCAGATCTTTAGGGCCAGGATCCTCCCCTGTCCCAGTTGGAGTTCCGCTGCTGGCCCTGAGCTGCCTGCTGAGCCCTCCATCCCCCTGCAGGGCTTTGGCCAGGGTACAGGGCGGGTCTGGTGGTAGTGAAGGGCCTGCCTGGGGGTTCAGTGGGATAGGCAGGGGACCGGCAGGTGCAGAAGCAAGTGTGGACCAAGTGGCAGTGAGATTTGCGGTGGAAGGGCAGGTTCCAGATGGAAAAAGAAGCAGGCATAGGATCAAGTCACCCAGGCCCGGAGTTTGGACTTTATCCTATGTTCAGAGCCAGCCAGTAAAGGTTTCTGGCCGTCAGAGTATCAGAAAGCCCCTCTGGCTGCAGTGTGGAGGACAGGGTTAGAGGGGATGAGACCAAGGTCACATCCGCACTCCCACCCCATGGCCTGGAGGAAGGCTCAACTTCTGTAGTTCTCAGGACTGCCCCAGGAGCTAGGAAGGCATTGGTCTTCTCTTTTGTAAGATGAGGAGAACCGAGGGCCAGAGAAGTCGGCCGGGCTACCTGAAGCCACTTGCTAGGCACCGTTTGCAAAGCAGCCACTCTCATCCACCATCCACCGCTAGTGGGGAGGCAGGCCCTCCGGTCCGCAGAGAGCGAGCTCACATACCTCCTGCCTGCCCAGCTGCCCCGCTGCCGGGATCCCTGCCCCGACACGGGGTGAGAGGTGCGGCTGTCCCCCCAGCCTTACCCACACCCTCACCAGGCCTGACTGGTTCTGCCTGGAGTCGCTGGCTGGGGCTGCTTGGGCACTGGCTTATAAACTCTGATCCATGGCTTCAGGCGCCGTGCCAGACCGCCCACCCAGCCGGCAGTGTCCCAGCCCAGTGGCCACAGATGGGAGATTAGGCAGACCCTCATCTGTGTACCGGGTGGGAACTGCAGGCAGCTGGCACAACAGCCGTGAGCTGGCAGACTCCTCCAGGTCACAGGGTGGGAGTGGGGATGTGACCTTGGTACCTGGGCCTTTGGGGTCTTGCCAGCTTTTCTGGCTGCCCCAGCCTCCAGAAGAGAGCCTGGGTCTGTCCCACCAGCCTCCACCCTGGGGTCAGACTTTCTGCAAAAGCGGGTGGCTTCCCCCATAGGTAGGAGCTGCAAACCCTACCGGGTAGAGCAGGCCTGAGGATTTGGGCACAGCTAGATGGCTGGGTCTGGGTAGGCAGGTGGCCGGAGTCAGTGCTAGGACTGAACAGCACCCCCAAGCCACGGCAGGGTTGGTAGCTGTTTCTTTCTGCCTCTTCTGGTTCTTGTGGGTTTGTTGTGCTACGGCCCACTCTCCCCTCCCAGCTTCTTACTCCCTGACCTGTCCTAGACTTTTGTTTTCTGTGGCCTCAGTGGTCACCTCAGGCCTTTCTCTGAGCCCAGCGTGCCCAGTGCTGCTGGCCAGGATGAGCCTGGGCTGTTGACGCTCAGGCCTCTTCTCACCTCCTCCCGTGGGGTAGCAGAGCTGGTGACCCAGGTCAGCCGGCGGTGGGTGCAAAGGTCTCTGCACTTGGAGGGCGGACCTCGGCATGGAGAGCTTTCCGTGCCTCCCAGCCCTCACCCCCAAACTAGCCTCTAGCCTGTGAAGCCAGAGGCTGTGATCATGCCGCCAGACGGGACCCAGGAGGGTCTGAGTGAAGGGAGCCCTCTGCCTCGACATACAGAGGTGTGGGGAGGAAGCCCACGCCTGGCAGCCTTTGAGAGTGAGTGCCGGGAGGGACCTGGGGCCTGGACTGACCTGTCTTCTTGTGCCTGGCAGATCCAATTTGCTCGGGCAGGAAGCGCTTGTTCCCACCGGTGCCTAGCATGTCCCGCCATTGCTCCGCAGGGCCTGGGCAGGCCATTTGGTTACTGCTGTGTGATGCCTGAGGGGTGGGGGGGAGGAGAAAAGTGTTCTGTGAGGGGGGTTGCCAGAGGGGACCAGGTGCCCAGTTCAGGCCGTATCTCTGTGGACTCACAGGAGTAACCTTCTCTTCACCAGCCCATTGACAGGTGGTTTTCTGGGGCTGATGGGGGAGGATGTAGGGGAAAGGCAGAGCCCCTCTGAGCCCGGCCTGCTGTGGGATAAAGGTGAGGGGGTCCTGCATCACGAAGCTGACTGTCAGCCAGAAATTGCTGTCACTCCTCAGCTGGGGGACAAGGCTACAGGCTTTCACTGCTGGACTGGTTAACAGTTGGAGTTTGTGGCTGTTTCACGGGCTCTTACGTAGGGGCTGCCCTGGCCAAAGCATGGGTGTGATGTTTGGACTCACCATGAAAGGGACTGGGAGGGGGACTATGAGTAGGAGGCCTGGCAAGCGCACCGAGTCTCCCTGCTTGGCCTGAGCAAGCTCCATGCTCCGCACAGGCCTACCTGGAGTCTTTCTACAAGTTCTGCACGCTGCTGGGCGGGACCACGGCCGATGCCATGTGCCCCATCCTGGAGGTGAGTGCCTGCTGGTCCCTGGGGAGGACAGGCCTGGAGGAAGCCCTGCCAACTGGCTGACTGTTGCCTTCCTCCTTCTCTCCTTGGCTGTGCTATGGCCCGACAGTTTGAAGCAGACCGCCGCGCCTTCATTATCACCATCAATTCCTTCGGCACAGAGCTGTCCAAGGAGGACCGTGCCAAGCTCTTTCCACACTGTGGGCGGCTGTACCCCGAGGGCCTGGCCCAGCTAGCTCGGGCTGATGACTACGAGCAGGTTAAGAACGTGGCCGACCACTACCCGGTAAGTGCTCCGGCCGCACGACCCAGGGGCGGGCAAACCGGCACTTGAATCTCCACCCCACACCCAACAGCCCCCTCATGCTTATGCTTCCTGCCATGCCCCTGGGTCAGGAGTACAAGCTGCTTTTCGAGGGTGCAGGCAGCAACCCCGGAGACAAGACCCTGGAGGATCGATTCTTTGAGCACGAGGTGGGTGTCAGGCCTGCCTGTCGTATGGGGGGGTCGGTGGCTCAGGCCCGACTTGTGGCCATGGCCCCTGCACACCACGCCTGCCTCTGTCCTCAGGTGAAACTGAACAAGCTGGCCTTCCTGAACCAGTTCCACTTCGGTGTCTTCTACGCCTTTGTGAAGCTCAAGGAACAGGAGTGTCGCAACATCGTGTGGATTGCTGAGTGCATCGCCCAGCGCCACCGCGCCAAGATCGACAACTACATCCCCATCTTCTAGCGCCCTGGCCTGGGGCTCCCCACCAGTGTGTGTGTGTGTCCGTGTGCGCTGGGACCAAGGCCACGGCTCACATGCTTGCCCTGGGGGCAGCACGTTGTCCTGGCGGCTTCCCTGCTCTTCAGAGGCTACTCCTGGGCCTGAAAGGGGCTGGGCGCCTGCCCCCCCACCAAGGATAGACCAAGTCCCCCTTCAGATCAAGGAGGCCCCTCAACCCTGTTACAGCTACTGATATGTCTGAGAAGCATGTGGTCACTTTTGTGCCCCTTCCTAACCTGAGAACCCCCAGGGGCAGCAGGAGCTTCCTCTCCCCTTTGCGGGTTGTCCCCAGAGCCGTGGGGACACAGTGTGTGTGTGTGTGTCCTTGGGGTGTGGGGGTGGGAAGCTGTGCATATCCCTTTCTGATCTCCGCCCCTCTGAACAATAAACTGCCCTCTCTCTAAGTCCGGCTGGCCACTGTCTCCTTTGAACCCTAGCTCCTTTCCCAGATCCCCCAGCTTGCCTTGGGCGTACCCTTACTGAGTCCACCCCCACCCAGCCTAAGCCTTCTATCTGCAGCAATCAGCCTCGGTGGGCAGCCCAGGCCGGCCCTCTGCTGAGCGGGCAGATTCCTTAGGGCTGGAGGACAGTTCCTGCCACTGCCGGCTGCTTGGAGCCAGGCCCCGGAGCGCCCCCAGGCCTCTTTGCTTCATTGACCCTGCCATCCCGCAGACCAGGGTTTTCGCCTTCATCTCAGCACAAGGAAACCCAACGCTGTGGATAAATGATGTGCCAAGGTCCGGGCAGTGGGCAGCTGTGACCCAGCGCCTCGTCCCTGCGCTGAGCCCGGGGGTCCCCTGGGCAGTGCCCGGTGTGGTGGTGTCTACCCCATTCTAGGAGAGATTAAAATGTGTCTTTATTTTTAAAGTGGCAGTCAGGCAAGAAGAGTATGCAGCCTCCCCGTGGCTTGGGGTGGGTGGTCGGGACCCTAATTCTTGAGCCAGTCAAGAAGTAGTTGGGATTCACCCTTTGAATCGCAGCACAGAGGCACCAGTGCTGAGAAATAGCCCTGAGGGGGTCCCCAACCTACCTTGTCACTTCATAGTTTGCAGAGGCACTGACTGGGGTCCCGTCAAAGGCTACAGCTACGTCTTGCGCTAAATTCCCCTTCCAGCTGGGTTCTCTAAACTACAGGGTAGAGCCTTGTGCCTGGCGAGTCCATTTGGGGCCGTGAACCGGCAGAGAGGCCCAGGGGTTCACTGGGAAGCCTGAGCCTCACCCGGCCTGACCTGGGGCATCGGCAGTCGGTGGGGCTGGGGGGTCCTTCAGGCCAGGCTCTAGGGCAGAGTTTGGGGTCACCATGGCCAGGGGAGGGCCGAGGGCTCGTGGGACCTCCTCTGCTGGAACAGCTAGGCCATGTGTGCACACTGCTCATTGGGACACTGTGGGAGAAGGGCCTGGCTTTGGGTCTGATTCTCGGGCTTCGTCCTGGGCGGGAGTAGAGCCAGGCTTGCCCGGCCGCAGTGCTCTGGGCACACAAGGACTGATGAAGAAGGCTTGCAGGAAGCGGCGCCGCAGGCTCTGGGGCAGGTAGTGGTGGATGAAGTACATGAGCCCCACGCCACGGCCCGGGTAATAGCGGTGTTGTGGCTGAGTGGCCAGCAGCGCGTCGACGATGGCATCTACAACTGGGCTGAGGTCGGGCACTGCCAGGCTCAGCGAATGCAGGAACTGCTTGTATATGTGCTCGATGTAATCCTCGCCATAGGCCTGCAGCAGCTCCTGAGGCAGGTTAGCCAGCAGTAGCTGTTTGCTCCGCTCCCAGCAGTTCACACTGTGAACTGGCCCTGTGGGTAAAGTGGTCAAATCACCATGCAGCCAGTCAGCCAGGGAAGCCAAAGACTCAGGCCTACCTCACCAATGACCCGCCCCTGCCAACGCCACATCCGTTCTACAGACCTGTCCCCACCCACAGGAGACCGTGGCTGCTCCTCTTTTCCAGTCCCAAGCCTCCCTTGCCACCCAACTCTGACCTTCACCTGTCTTGAAGCAGCCAGGCTGGATGACGCTGACCTTGACCCCCCAGGGCAGAAGTTCACTGCTGAATGTATCCATGAGCAGCACCATGGCCGCTTTGGAAGTCCCATAGGCCCCCAAGCATGGAAATGGCATGTCTCCTGGGGATGGATTGGGGTGGGGCAGCTCAGCCTGGGCCAGGGGCTCCAGCACCCCTCCCCACCAGTGGCTCCTTTTCTGCTGCAGTGTGGGTGTGCACTCACCTGCCGGGCTGCCCAGGGTCACAATCCGACCCCTGGAACGGCGCAAAAGTGGCAAGAGGCCCTTGGTCAGCTGCAGCGTGCCAAAGAAGTTCACCTCCATGCAGGTACGGAACGTAGCCACTGGAGACAGCTCTGCGTCGGCCACTAACTCGTTGAGGCCCGCATTGTTGACCAGGCCCCACAAGCCTGAGGAGGTGGAGCAGGGAGGGAGGGAAGCTGTAGCTCTGCCCTTCAGCAAACCTACAATCACTGCCCCTTTACAGCCACCCAGCCACCCGTCCTTGAGGAACTGTGCCAACCGACCTGTGCTGCTGGTGTGAGCCTTGGTGAACTCTAGTGCGCGGCTAATGTCAGCTGGTTTGGTCAAGTCCATTTGCAGCAGCTTCAGGTGAGGGGAACAGCAGGCACGCAGCTCTAGGGCACCAGGGCTCTCCAAGTCCAACACAGTGGCCAGCACCGTGAAACCCATGGCATCAAGCTTCTTGGCTGCCTCCTTGCCAAAACCAGAGTCACAGCCTGGCCAGGGCAGGGCAGCCAATGAATTCCCACTGTGACCCAGTCCAGCCCGAGGCAACCCTAGGATCACCAGGGTCCAGAGAGAATCCGGGACCCTGGTCACCCAACCTCCCAGCAGTCAGCAGCCCTCCCTCCGTCTCCGTCCCCGCAGGCTTTGCTCCCTGGCTGAGCACCTGCGCATCAACCGGTTCACAGCTGTCGTCTCCCTGACTCCCAGTTGCAACCCCATCAGACACGCCTCAAGAGCCCAACCTTACAGATGAGGAGACAGATCTAGTAATGCTAACCTGCTTCACAAAGTCACCTGGCCAGCAAAGAGTAACTTCGGGACTCTATCCCAGGTCAGCCTGGGACCCAGTCCCAGCCCTAATGTCCTTCTGCCTGCTTGACATCAAGCTTCTGCTCAAATGCTTGGGGTTGTGGTACAGCCCCCCTTCCTTTCTCACCATTCTTGCCCAGGTTTCTTTCGCCCACCTGGGTGCTGAAGCCATACCCTCTCCAGTCCTGTCTCATCTTAATCCCTTGAATCCATTCTCTACCTGAACAGCTACAAGGATTTTTCCAAAAATGACAATATAATGGCTGCAGAAAACCTTCCTGAGGCACCCACAGTGCACTGGCTGAAGCCCAAGCCCTCTGCTCCCATCCTCCAGGCCCTGCCCAACCTGAGCTAGCCTGCCTTCCTAATCTCGACAACCCCTACTGCTGTTCCACCCTCCAGGCAAGCAGGAGGCCCATCTCCGCCTCACCCCTGACCCCCACCCTTGGAATTTTGATCAGTGGCAACAGTAGGGCATTCTCTGAGCTCCAGACCACTTGCCCTTAGGACAAGGACAATGATGGATGGAGAACAGACCTGCATTTCAGTCCCTTCCCACACCCACCGAGGATGACCCTAAGTCAGTTATCACTCTTGAAGGCTTAACTTTCTGTCTTTGGTATGCAGAGTGAAACCACCAGGCAGAGCCAGAGTTGGGGGTCCGATAAGCCCCTGCTTCCTTGATTGTTCCCATTTTGGTTTTGTGGGCGGAGCCTTCTCCTCTCCCAGAGCAGAAGCTACAAAGCTGCTCACTTTTCCACTCCTGGACGGCTCTGCGCCCGCTCTGCTCCCTGCGTTGAGGCAGACAGCACAGCTGGGCAGGGGGCTTTGAGCTGGGTTTTGTGTTGCTGGGGGCCTGCCTGCCAGCCCAGGCTGCGGGGGTGGAGGGAGGCCCTTCCTGGGCAAGCACGGCTGAGGCAGGGGCATATGTTTGCATCCCCTTGCCTGAGAGCCGCCCCCCACTCCAATGGGCCCTTCCCAAGGAAACAGAATCCTCCCAGAGCCTACTGTCTCAGCATAGTCCACCACACCTCACATCCCCTTTACTCACCTGCACACACATACCTGTATACACCTCCAACCTACCTGCAGTGAGCCCTGAACACCACACCGGCTCACTCCCATGAGATCCCTGCCAGTGCACAGCTGTGCCCCCAAGCCACTCAGCCCGAACCCTGACCCCAGGGCTGACCTTGGTGAGGAGCCTTGGCCAGAGGCTCTCAGGGAGGGGCGGGTGGCAGGTCTGGCAGGTGGGGCAGGGTCTGGTCACCTACTGGTCTCACAGCCAGGTTGTGAGGGACCTCCAGAGTTGTCGGGCATAGGGAAAGTTGGAGGCTTATACCTGATGCTTAGATGGGATGGGATGGGCAGTCCCCTCCCCCCTCCCCCATCATGGTGCTTTGCAACCAGAGATGGGGGAGCCCAGGTCATAGAAGACATCCCTTCTCTCACCTCCCTCTCAGACCCAAGGCTACAAATAATCAGCACCAAAGCCTGGGCTGGGAGCTCAGCAAATTGGGACCGATTGGGAAGGCAGGGTGGGAGCTCCCCTGCCTGTGGGGACAGGTCACCATCCAGTCCCTGCTTCATACCAGGATGGTCTATCATCTTCCTTCCTCAAACCCCTGAAACTGGGGTCCCCAAAGGCTTCCCACTGCACCCTGAACCCCAGTCCCTCCCACCCAGCCTGGGCCCTGCTCTCTTCGCTCTTTGCTGGAAGCCCAAAGGTCTCGTGCCTCCTTCCCCCCGCCCCAGCTTGCTCTGGCTTCTAGCTCAGCGTCCAAGGCCCCACCTGAGGAAATAACCTCATGTCCCACCACATCTCAGCAGCCACACTGACTACGGATCGTCCCCTACTCAGACTTTGCTCATTCCTGCCTCGAGCCTTTGTTCCACACCCTTTGTCTCATACAAAACACCTTCCATACTCCACCTATCTCCACCCATCCTCCGAGGCCCAGCTCAAGGGTTGGCCTCCTCTGGGAAGTTCTCCCAGCTCCCTATGATCATGCGGGGCCCCTACTGGACCCAGACCTCTGAGAAACCAGTCTGGTGGCTCCCCCCAGCCCAAGCCCAATGCAAAGGCAGGGCCCTGAGCACCAGTCCAAAGCCACTGGGGTTGGAGGAGAGACTAGGCTACCCTCCCCCCATACAATGGAGCCAGTGCCCCCTGGCCTTTCCCCCCCTCCCCACTTCCCCCTTTCCCTTCCCCTGATCTGGTGACAGATTTATTCCCTGCTCCAGACAAAGGAAGCTCAGCCAGGCAGCCAGAGGCACCTGAGCCTACCTCTCTAAGGCCCCCCTTCCTGGGCACAGAGGACCAGGAGGAATGGGGGAAGGGGTGCAGACT